ACCTGTAGTTCCAGCTACTCAGGAGGTTGAGGCAGAAGAATCGCTTGAACGCAGGAGGCGGAGGTTGCAGTGAGCCGAGATCGTGCCACTGTGCTCCAGCCTGGCAACAGAGTAAGACTCCATTTCAGAAAAGAAACAAAAAAGCAAAGAACACTTAATACTAATGATCACATTTTTGGGCTCAAACATCCTAATTAATTAAGGAAAGAGGAGATGCCACAACGGATACCACACTATGAGATGCCCTGAAGAGTTTCACAAGGGAAGAAATTACCATCTTAGGGAGGGCAAACTACGGAAACTTTTCACGCACTGGTCATTCACGGGTATGATTAGAAGAAATGCCATACAGACCTCAGGATACTTTGACCCAGATGGGGCCACTCTGATGCCTTCTGAGATGAGAATCTATCACATTACCACAGCTGATCACCACTCACTCGGTGACTTAAGACAAAGGAAATTGACGTCACCATTCCAAAGACCAGAAGTCTGAGATCTAGGTGTGAGCAGGGCTGCGCTCCTCCTGGAGGCTCTAGTGGAGGATTCTTCTTGCCTCTCTCACCTCCTGGGGGCCCCAGGTGTCCCTGGACTTGTGGCCACATCACTGTAGTCCCTGCCTCCGTCACTACTTTGCTTCCTCCTCTGTGTCTCCAAATCTCTCTCTCCTTACAAATACACTAGTAATTGGATTTAGGACCCATCTGCAAGGATCCTATTTCTAAATAAGATCCTATTTCTACATTTTGAGGGCAAGGACATGATACACATTTTTTTTTTTTTTTTTTTGAGTGGAGCCTTGCTGTTGTCACCCAAGCTGGACTGCAATGGCATGATCTTGGCTCACTGCAACCTCCGCCTCCTGGGTTCAAGCAATTCTCCTGCCTCAGCTTCCCGAGTAGCTGGGATTACAGGCATCCACCACCACACTAATTTTTGTATTTTTAGTAGAGATGGGGTTTTGCCATGTTGGTCAGGCTGGTCCCGAACTCCTGACCTCGTGATGTGCCTGCTGCAGCCTCGCAAAGTGCTGGGATTACAGGCGTGAGCCACCGCGCCTGGCCCCACATATCTTTTTTATGACTCATGACAGTATGCAACTCTGGCATACAATCATGCAAATGGTTTACTTAGGCAGACCCTCCAGGCCTGCGTGGCAAGGGAGTGGGGGTTCACGCCACAGCAAAGGGAGGAAAGAAAACCCCTGTGCTTCTCTAGCTTTTTCAGATCACAGGAAAGAGCAAACCAGCAATTCAAGGGCAACAGTCAAAGATTGCAGGTATAGAGCATGAGAAGCAATGAGCACAGGGCTGGAGGGGTGCACAGAAGTGGTAAAGGAGGTCGAGGATAGCCTCAAGTGGGGCTGACGTTCATGGGAGGGATGGCAGAAGGTGAAGGTGATTGAAAGGGAGGATGGGACGCCAGTAACATCAGCTCCAGGACCTCAGGAAAGTGTAGAAGGGAGCTCCTTTTCCATCCAAGACTGACCCCATGTCTCTCGCGCTTTGGTGCAAGGATGCATGGATGCTGAGACTCATAGGAAGGGCATGTGAGGGGCGAAGCATGTGGGAGGTGGAAAAAGGGAAAGAGGAGGAGAAGGGCTGTGGGGAAATAAGTGAGGAGAATTGCGGAAACAGACCATTGACTTAATTCTCAAGAGGATTCAAAGGCCAGATGCAGTGGCTTATGTCACTAACCCCAGCTACTCAAGAGGGTGAGAGAGGAGGATCACCTGAGACCAGGGGTTTGAGATCAGCCTGGGCAACATGGTGAAATTCTGTCTCTACCAAAAATACAAAAATTGGCTGGGCAGGCTGGTGGGCACCTGTAATCCCAGCTACTTGGGAGGCTGAAGCAGGAAAATTGCTTGAACCCAGGAGGCGGAAGTTGCAGTGAGCTGAGATCGCAGCATTGCACTCCAGCCTGGGCAACAGAGTGATACTCTGTCTCAAAAAAAAAAAAAAAAAAAAAAAAGATACAGGTCGAGCACAGTTGCTCATGCCTGTAATCCTAGCACTTTGGGAGGTTAAGGCAGGAGGATTGCTTGAGACCAGGAATTCAAGGCCAGCCTGGGCAACATAGTGACACCCCATCTCTAAAAAAACAAAAAAAAAAAAACAAGAAAAATAAAAAAAATCATGGCCCCTGTATTTACACTCCTCATACACTGCAGACAGATGCCATTTAGAAGAGACGGAGCCTTATTCCTGAGTGGGCAGTTGAAGAAGGATGAATTGGGGAAGTGCGTGCATTACTTTCTTGTTGCTGTGGTAACGAACTGCCAACACTGAAAACAACACATGTTTATTTTCTTACATTTCTGTAGGTCTGGAGTCTGAAATGGATTTCACTATTTTAAAATCAAGGTATTGGGAGGCTTGCGGTCTCTCCAGAATCTCTAGGAGAGAATTCATTCCTTGCTTTCTCTAGTTTTTAGAAGTCACCTGCCATCCTTGGCTCATTAGCCGTTACCCCATCTTCAAAGCACATGTCTCTGATCTCTGCTTCCATCCTCACATCCCGTTTTTCTGTGGTTAAATATCTCACTTCCTCTCTCTTATAAAAGCCCTGGGACCCCACTGTGATTACATGGATCATTCAAACAATGTCCCCATCTTAAGAACCATACCTGAATCCTTTCTGCACATTCCTCTTTGTCCTAAAAGGTCATACGTTCTAAGAATTAGGATATGGGCATCTCTGGGGACCAGGATTGTACCTGCCACATAGAGTTTCAACACTTGATGGGATCTGGGAGCCTGATGAGGGAGGGTGTCACCCCTGAGGGGCTGGGTCAAAGTGAACCAAGTAGCTAGAACAGGTGGTCACAGGAAGTTGGTGATTCGCTAGGGCTCCAGCTTGGGAGAAGTAAGGGGGGCAGCTGGGGACCTCTCCACCTCTAGCGTCATGAATTTGGAGCCAGGCACTGAGAGCCTCCCACCAGGAGAGGGCACCGTCTACATAGAAAGATAGGCTGGGTGCAGTGGCTCCTGCCTGTAATACCAGCACTTTGGGAAGGTGAGGCGGGTGGATCACCTGAGGTCAGGAGTTCGAGACTAGCGGAGGTCAGGAGTTGGAGAACAGCCTGACCAACATGGCAAAACCCTATCTCTACCAAAAATACAAAAATTAGCCGGGCATGGTGGCAGGCGCCTGTAATCCCAGTTACTTGGGAGGCTGAGGCAGGAGAATTGCTTGAACCCAGAAGGTGGAGGTTGCAGTGAGCCAAGGTCACGCCACTGCCCTCCAGCCCGGGCAATAAACTGAGGCTCAGCATTCAAAACAAAAAACAAAAACAAAACTAGCCGGGTGTGGTGGCACACGCCTGTAATCATAGCTACTTGGGAGGCTGAGGCATGAGAATCGCTTAAACTCGGGAGGCGGAAGTTGCAGTGAGCCGAGCTCACGCCACTGCACTCCAGACTGGCTGACAGCGAGACTCCATCTCAAAAAAGGGGGGTGGAAAAAAAAAAGAAAGACACACCTTGTATATGCAGCAGGACCAGGCCTAAAAGCAACTTACACTAACAGAGAACCTCAGGGAGGTGGACCCAAGCCATATCACTGGCTTCTTTTCAAGGTAAAATTTGATTTTTTTTTTCTTTAATTGAACTATTTTGGGCCACCCTGTTGACTGTACTGAGCACAGACTGCGTTTATAGTGGAATATGAACTTTGCAATGAATTACTCCAAGAAACGATGCCGTTAGCAATGGGTACATGAGTGGAAGCAACAGCAGTGTGGGATCAGAGCCAGAATCTGAGAGACGCAGAGCTGGGAGGCAAGAGAGAGCTCTCTGGGAGCAAGCAGAGGGTGCTAGGCACAATGAACATGGCAAGCAAGGCTAGCCCCTGAGGACAATCAAAGGGCCATTTTCAAGGTTGAGGACTGACTGTGGCCTCACTGTGTTCCCCTCCATGCCACGCTATACCTGAACTCTTTCCCTCCTCACTGAGCCCCATGGGATCGTCAGTTCCATTGACCACAGGTCCTTTGCACGTACCACACTTGCTACACAAAACTCCCTTCTGCCTGTATCTTGTGCTGTCTTCATTCTTCAGTTGTCAGCTCCACTGTCACTTCCCCTTAAAAGTTCACATCTGTGGCTGGGCGCTGTGGCTTACTCCTGTATTCCCAGCACTTTGGGAGGCCAACGCGGGCAGATCACGAGGTCAGGGGATCGAGACCATCCTGCCTAACACGGTGAAACCCCGGCTCTACTAAAAGTACAAAAAAATTTATCCGGTTGTAGTGGCATATGCCTGTGATCCCAGCTACTTGGGAGGCTGAGGCAGGAGAATCGCTTAAACCCAGGAGGCAGAGGTTGCAGTGAGCAGAGATCGCGCCACTGAACTCCATCCTAGGTGACGGAGCAAGACTCTGTCTCAAAAAAAAAAAAAAAAAAAAAAAAAAAAGTTCACATCTGTGTCCCTGCCTGACCCAAGCTGACCACATTGTAAGCATCTACAAGTCTCACCTTCTTACTGCTGCTCTGACCACAGCACTACTTTTATGTCCTGTGGGCAGTTTTGTTTAAATGTCTGCTTTCCTCGTTAGACGCTAAGCAACATGAAAGTGAGTGAGTGGCCATGGTTTGCTCATCTGTGCACCTCCAGGACTGGCTGGGTTCCTGGACCTTCTGTCGTGTTCAAAGCTGGGTGACCTGGGTGTGAAGAAGCAGAGGTCCACGCACATGGGTGAACCTGTGCTTATTCTCACCATCACACTGCTTGACTTCCTTATTTCCTTCCTGTCACCTGGAATGCCTACCCTGTACTTCTCCCCAGTGCCAACACCATCATTTACCACCTCGTTCAGCTCCCAGTCATCCTGGGAGCCTTTCCTGACCACAGGGATGCATCGTGGTGCACAATCCCTGCAGCTGCTGCTATGGTGCAAGGTGATTCTAGAAGAATAGTTTTGCTGTGCGGTCACCCTTATGCGCTATTGTGATTTTGCCTGTAAGATGTTGAAAAAGACATGGAAAACACACACCATCTGATCATCAGTTGCAGGCACATCCCCCGTTGCTAAGAATGTGTCGTGGTTTAAATCAATATCTGTTGGCTCTTCGGCTCCTGCTCTGGGCTTCGTACATCCCCCCTCAGCCCTGAATTCCATTCCCCCTAATCTTGGTAACTTTGGTGGCTTTTGCACCAACCAAAATCAGATCCTAGGTCTTGAGCAAAACCAAGAGCAAGGAAAAACATCCCCCATGGGAATCTGAGTCACTCTAATGACTTCAGTTGCTGTTGACTTGATTTCCTTCAGCTGCTTAAGGGGGTTAGCTCAGCTTCCTCTTGCTTCTAGGACAAAGCGTCACAGACTTTGCAGCTTAAAACAATGCACATTTCTTTGCTTTCAGTTCTGGAGGTAAGAAGTCTGAAATTAGCTTCCTGGGGCTCCCATCAAGGTATCAGCAGGGCTGGCTCTCTTCTGGAGGCTCTAGGAGAGAAAGGGTTTGCTTGACATTTCCAGCTTCTAGAGGCTGCCTGCCCGTCTTGTTATGTGGCTGCTTCCTCCATCTTCAAAGCCAGCAGTGTAGCATCTCCTAATCTATCTCTAACTCTGACCCTCTTGCTTCCCTTTTTCAATGATAAAGACCCACGTGATAACACTGGTCCTACCTGGGTAATCCAGTAATGTCTTCTCATCTCAAGCTCAGCTGATCAGCAACCTTCATTCCATCCGCAACCTTCATTTCCCTTGCTATGGAAGGCAATATATGCGCAGGTTCTGGGAATCAAGACATGGATATCTTTGGGGCCCATTATTACTTCTACCTACAACAGGTGTTACAAGACTTGGCCTACTTCATCTTGCAAATCCTTTCTGCCCCCCTCCTGCACCGAATGAGATCTGTTCTCTGTGAATGTTCAGGACCTCAAGAGTAGGGACCCCAAAGGCTGGGGGCAAAGTAGATGTGACCGGTGCCAAGCATAGGGTGTGTGACCAGATTCAGATATGTGATTACATTGGGCGGTGACCTAGTCATTTTCGTTAGGAAGGAACATGGTTGTAGGAAGAGAAAATGGAACACAACCCACACGTGTTGGGTGGTTGGAAGATCTGAGAACTCTCGTGGGTGTGCTCCTCCATTTCACTCACCACGGTACAGGGGACATTCTTAGACCTGTCAGTGTCACTATTTAACATAAACATCCAAGAAAGTCAGCGAACTTCAGGCAGGATGAAGGCAGAGACCCACCCCGAAGCACAGTGTGATTCAACTGTCGAAAACCACAAGACAGAAGCGACTGATCCCATCTGAGGAGTCCTAAAGAAGATTATCATCAGACTTCCCTTCGGAAACTTTGGAAGTCAGAAGGCAGTAGGCTGATAAATTCAAAATGCTAAAAACCAAAACCAACGAAAACTTGCTAACCAAGAAAAAAAAAATACTACACGGCTAAAAAATCATGCAGAAATCTTAGCAAAATTTTAAATGATCCAACAAGGTCTATTGTTTCTGCTCAGATATGGGCAAACATGAACTTGTATGCTTATTTTTATGGGTACAAGGAGCACGCAGTTATCTCCACTAGCATATTTTTTGTTTTGTTTTGAGATGGAGTCTCACTCTGTTGCCCAGGCTGGAGTGCAGTGGCACAATCTTGGCTCACTGCGACCTCTGCCTCCCGGGTTCAAGCAGTTCCCTGCCTCAGCCTCCCGAGTAACTGGGATTACAGGCATCTACCACCACGCCTGGCTAATTTTTGTATTTTTAGTAGAGATGGGGTTTCAGCATCTTTGCCAGGCTGGTCTTGAACTCCTGACCTCGTGATCCACCTGCGTCGGCCTCCCAAAGTGCTGGGATTACAGGTGTGAGCCACCACACCCAGCCTGTTTTTCTTTTTAACTCATGTGTAGGTTCAGAATTTAGTTCCAGGTACGTGAGAGCTCTTTGTAGATCTTTTTCATGGTGAGTCCGCTGGCTTACCAGACCTTGTCTGACTTCTCCTTCCTGTATCTTCCCAACAGCTCAGCACCTTGGTGCGGTACAGGGTCCCATTAGCGGCCTCATTTCCCACCACTGACTGAACATCAGCAGGCTCAATCCACGAGTCAGGGGCTGGGGATGTCTTGTCAAGAATTCCCTCTTTTGGAATGAAATTTATAACAACAGCCGTGCTGCTTGATGGAGCCCTTTCTACATGGCAGGTGCTTTGCAAACACTTTCAGAAAATCTGCAGCAAACCTTATAGTAAGAATGATTGCTCTCATCCTACAAGTCAAAGATCAGATTGGTGACATGGTCACCAATGCACTGCTAATAAACAGCAGAAGTGAAATTCAAATATCAAGACATTTGTCCTCAAAGTCTCTGCTTGCAACTAGATTATGGTCCTGATATCCTAGGGGTGAATCAGTTTCAGTTGCCCTTCCTGGACCCCCAGCAAGTAGTACATTGGAATTATTCTTGTCCGGTATAGCGGGGAGCAGTGTAAACAGATCAACAAGGTTTTCTGGGACCCTGGTTCAGGCAAATAAATCTTACAACATTATCTGGCTCTTTCAAGTAGACTTTAGACTTGGCCTTGCTTTCTATACTTTATTTTACCCACCGGAAAATAGTGTTTGTATCTTTACAAAATGTAATACTTGATTTTCCCCTCTCAATATTTTGCAGGGCAGAGATATTGCTTTGATCTATTTTCACATAATAATTATTATTTGAGGTCTCAATTAAGACCAGTGTCTTCATCTGTGTGGGGCTCTGCGTTAAGGGCTTTCATAGACTCGCTCCTGCCGTTTCTCCTAACTCACTTGAGCAGAGGCCAGCAGTAGAGAAACTTAATAAATAACACAAGTGCTGCAGTTTCTGAGTCCTCTAAGAAATGAGACCAAAAGGAAAGACTCCAGGGACATTTTCACAGATATGCCCAATTCCAGTGGCCCCAGGTTTTGCACCCTGCTATTGATATTCTGCCACCCATAGTCGTGATCATCTGGCTACAAAACAGCAGGCAAGGCTGTGCTTGAATGATGTTACAGGTGGGCTCATGGCTACATGGATGTCTAGACATGTCTAGGTGTCCATATGCAGGAACTGAGGGAAAGTGAGAAAGAGGGAGGGAGGGATGGGTCAAGGGATGGATAGATAAATGGATGGAAAGGTGGACGAATGGATAGATGCATGAATGGATGGTGAATTGGTGGGTAAAATGGAGGGATAGATGGATGTTTGGATGGATAGTTGGGTGGATGGGTAGATGGGTGGATGGATGAATGGATGAGTGGATGGGTAGACAGTGGATGGATGGAGAGATGGATAAATGTTTGATGGATGAATAGATGCATACATGGATAGACAGGTGTTTGGGTGGATGTGTAGGTGGAAAGGGGGATGGATAGACAGTTTCATAGGTGGATGGATGGGTAGATGGACAGATGGATGAGTGAATAGATGTGTTGAATAGGTGGATGTATAGATGGAGGGATGGATGATTAGTTTGGTAGATGAGTGGATGGATGGGTGGATGGATGGATGGATGGTTAGGTGGATGAGTGAATGAGTAGATGGGTGGATGAATGGATGGATGAATAGATGGATAGGTAGATAAGTGAATGATTGAATGGATGGATGGATGGATGCATGAATAAACAGGTTCATGGATGGGTGGGTGGATGGATGGATGGATGTGGGTGGCTGGCTAGATATGTAGATAGATGCAAAGGTGAATGCAAATAGAAGGGTAGATTTATGAGGATGAAAGAATTTTTCGCCGGGAGTGATGGCTCACGCCTATAATCCCAGCACTTTGGCAGGCCGAGGCGGGCGGATCACGAGGTCAGGAGATCGAGACCATCCTGGCTAACACCGTGAAACCCCATCTCTACTAAAAATACAAAAATTAGCCAGGCGTGGTGGTAGATGCCTGTAATCCCAGTTACTCGGGAGGCTGAGGCAGGAGAATGGCATGAACCCAGGAGACAGAGCTTGCAATGAGCCGAGATTGTACCACTGCACTCCAGTCTGGGCAACAGAGCGAGACTCCATCTCAAAAAAAATTAAAAAAAATAAAAAAAATAAAAGAAAGCGAGAATTTTTCTCCTTAGGTAATCAGGGGAAAATTAAATCCTTACCCACAGAGACGTCTTTCATTGACATCAGGCGGAGGCTCTCTTTTCTCTCTTCTGGTGACCAGGACAAAGAGAAGTGCAGGTTTAGAGGGCTCTGACGAGGGAGCCCTGCCTGCCTCCTGTCCTGAGTCACCTTTACCAAATCGTCTCCTGTGTTGGGTCTCCCTAACCTTGATTTTCAAACGCTAGCTTCTAGGCTTTGCCTTTTCTGTGTCTGTGGTTCTGTGTCATCCACCAAGTCTCCCAGAGAGCCCCTTCCTGCCTCCCCTCTGTCCCTTTAGCCCCCACTCCAGACCCCAGATTGGGCTCAGGGTTCCTCTGTAAAAGTCACTGATGGGAGTCCACACCCTGAAAATGCCTTCAGCCTTCATTCCAGCCTCTCCTCTCTGCCAAGTGAGCTGCCGCTGCCGGCAGCAGTCACTTCTTCACACAGGGATGCTTGTTCCGGCACACTGCGTAGGCGCTGTCTCCTGTGTGGGAATCGGCTTGGCGTAGGCGACCGTATGACATTGTTTCAAAAAGCCATTCAAATTCTTTGTCTTGTACATCCTGTCTGGAAGCACGTGTATACATTCCCGCCTCCCCACTGGGCACACTCTTACCCTTGCCCTGCCATCGTGGTGCTAGGAGCTGTCTGTGCCGTCCACTGGGTGGACCAGACGTCTTCCCCATGAAAAGGGGAATCAGGGTCTTCATGTGTCTCTCAGAAGCTAGGCATTTGGCACCGGGGCTCATGAACAGCTGATTTTTGAAGCGGTCCCAGGGGAAGCTGAGTTGGTGACTGATAAGAGGAAGGTCTAGGTCCAGTGTGGTGGCTCACGCCTGTAATCCCAGCATTTTTGGAGGCTGAGGCAGGCGGATCAGTCAGGAGATCGAGACCATCCTGGCCAACATGGTGAAACCCCGTCTCTACTAAAAATACAAAAATTAGCTGGCCATGGTGGCACGCGCCTGTAATCCCAGCTACTTGGGAGGCTGAGGCAGGAGATTCGCTTGAACCCGGGAGGTGGAGGTTGCAGTGAGCTGAGATCGTGTCACTGCACTCCAGCCTGGGTGACAGAGTGAGACTGCATCTCAAACAAAAAGAAAAAAAGAAGAAGAGGATCTGAAGAATTGGGATACCGAGGCATCATCTTCCTTGCCCAGTGGATTTGCAGTTTCATACCCTGGATCTCCTGAAGCTTTGGGGCTCCTTTTTCTTTTTCTTATTTTTTTTTCTTTGAGACGGAGTCTCTTTTCTTTATATTATCCAGTCTTAGTTATTTCTTTATAGCAATATGAGAACACACTAATGATGCTGGTCTCTTCAAGGAAACTCCTGCCATACCCCCTCCCCCATCTTCTTTCTCTCTCTCTTTTTATTTTGAGATGGAGTCTAACTCTGTTGCCCAGGCTGGAGTGCAGTGGTGTTATCTCGGCTCACTGCCACCTCTACCTCCCTGGTTCACGCCATTCTTCTGCCTCAGCCTCCCGAGTAGCTGGGATTACAGGCGCCTGCCACCACGCCCGGCTAATTTTTGTATTTTTAGTAGAGATGGGGTTTCACCATGTTGGCCAGGTTTGTCTTGAACTCCTGGCTTCAAGCGATCCACTTGCTTCGGCCTCCCAAAGTGCTGGGGTGACAGGCGTGAGCCACCTCTCCTGGCTGGGGATCCTTTTTCATCTCTGGTGGACGACAAGGTGTATTTTCCTCTTGCTGGTCCAGGGGGCTGCAGACGGACAAGCAGACTCCAGTGTTTGGGGGTCTGTGTGTGTGTTCTTTTTCCCCCGTGGTGCCAGCTGTGGCAGGTCACAGGATGCAGGTGGATAATGATGGCACAGACATATCCTGGCTGTTGGCCTCTCCTACTTCACTTCATTATTGATGGATGCAGCACCCACTAAGTTGATTATAAAAGGCTGATAAGGCCGGGTGTGGTGGCTCACACCTGTAATCCCAGCACTTTGGGAGGCCAAGGCAGGCGGATCACCTGAGGTCTGGAATTGAGCCTGACCAACATGGAGAAACCCCGTCTCTACTAAAAATACAAAATTAGCCAGGCTTGGTGGTGCATGCCTGTAATCCCAGCTACTGGGGAGGCTGAGACAGGTGAATCACTTGAACCAGGGAGGCAGAGGTTGCGGTGAGCCAGGATCGTGCCATTGCACTCCAGCCTGGGCAACAAGAGGGAAACTCCATCTCAAAAATAAATAAATAAATAAATAAATAAATAAATGAAATCAATGAATGAATGAATAAATAAATAAATTTAAAAAATAAGCTGGGCATGGTGGCATGTACCTGTAGTCCCGTCTCCTCTGGAGGTTGAGTTGGGAGGATTGCTCGAGCCCTGGAGGTCAAGGCTGCAGTGAGAGGTGTTTGTGTCACTTCACTGCAGCCTGGGTGACAGAGTATAGACCCCCATCTCTAAAACAGATAAATACATATATACAGAAATGATTAAATGGTGAAGTTAATGTTACAGGTATTTTTCCACAACAACATCCTTACCCACAGAAACCTCAGTGGAGAAGACAGGAGTGTGGCAGGCCAACATGCTTCTGTAGCCCCACAAAGCTGTCCCTTTAATTGGTAGCACTCCTGGTAAAGGCTGTTTGCTTAGCGGACATTGACCTCTGACCTTGTCCTCCACCTGCTGGCGCAGCGACTCCTGCTATCTCCACTTTGTCCAGCTCACCTGTCAGTCCCCAGAGTCCTAGAACCGTCTATCGGTTCTTGCTTCTCCCTTTTCCCCTAGAAGCATCTCCTGGGAATCGCCCTGATCAAAAGCCCCAGCCACCTCTCCAAGACCCCCTCCAGAAGCCCACACAGCCCTTACATTCATTGCCTTTGAACCTACCCGAAGTCAGCAAGTTCAAAACTCGTCAGAAACCAGGAGAAGTCTCAGCCCCAAATCAATAGCAGCCGTTGTCAGCTCCTCCCAGCTCAAAGTCCCCCGGAGATTGGTTCCCTGGTCTGAGTCAGGAACAAGAGACTGAAAAGCACGGGGATCTGGTGCTTTTTCTTCGTAGGGTTACTCCCTCTCCCCACCAAAAAACCTACCAACTGAAAGATCACTGATTGGTTGCGTCAACCAGCCTCAACCACCAGATGTCTTTGAGATGGGGAGCCAGCCCCCTAAAGCTGAGTCTCTGTGTGTAGCTTCCAAATATCTGGTCCCCTGGGTGCAGACAGAAGAGAGGACACAGAGGCTGGACATCTCCCAGAGGAGGGGGAGACTGGCTGGGCACCAAATAGTCTGGCTTCCCTCTCTGATATCATAGGAACATGAACAGACTCGGAGATACTGATTGAAAGTATATGTCACTTGAAGGAGACATTGGTTCCAGAGCCATTAGTTCCTAACCTCCTACCATACTCTCTGCATGGTGGAAGATGCCAGAACATTCTCAGAGCTTGAGAAGAAAGAGGAATTGAGAGAAGGGATGGGGGTCAAGAGATAGAGAAGGTGAGGAGGAATGCGAGAGAAGGGAGGGAGGGAGGAGAAATGAGGAAGGAGAACTCAGAAGCTCAGGTCTAACTTCACCCCACTCCCCTCAGGATCCCTACACTCTAACAGTTGTTTCTGAGAGTTCCTGGGGGCCACCCATAAACAATGAGGTTAAATGTAAATAGAAGGGCAGGACTCTGTTGAAGTCCCTGTTGGCTGCATAGTCACCAGCTCTCATGACCCAAAGAGGAGAGTGATCAGGTGACTAGATCGTCAACGAGGGTAAATCTGGAAGACAAAATGTTTGAGGCCAGGTGCAGTGGCTCACAACTGTAACCCCAGCACCTTTGGAGGCCAAGGTAGAAGGATCACTTGAGCCCCAGGAGTTTGAGACCAGCCTAGGCAACATAGGTAGACCCTGTCTCTACAAATAATTTTTAAAAATTGCTCACGCCTGTAATCCCAGCACTTTGGGAGGCCGAGGCGGGCGGATCACAAGGTCAGGAGATCGAGACCACGGTGAAACCCCGTCTCTACTAAAAATTACAAAAAATTAGCCAGGCGCGGTTGTGGGCGCCTGTAGTCCCAGCTACTCGGGAGGCTGAGGCAGGAGAATGGCGTGAACCCGGGAGGCGGAGCTTGCAGTGAGCCGAGATCGCGCCACTGCACTCCAGCCTGGGCTGGGCGACAGAGCGAGAGTCCGTCTCAAAAAAAAAGAAAAAAAAAAAAAAAAAAAATTAATTGAAGGATTTCTAAAGACTACATGAGTGGTTTTTGTCTCCTGGAGTCAGAACCCAGGGAGGATTTTTGCTGAAATACCAAAGCCGCAGGGAGCCTGAATAGAGATGTTCAGACAGAAATTAAGTTTGAAGAAATAGATTTTGGCAGAGAGGCATGAGGCCACAGACAACTCATACATTCATTCATTCTTTCACTCACTCAACAAACATTAAATGGACTGTCTCTAACTGCATTTCCCTCTCTTGACAAGAGGGGTACATGGGAGAGAGACAGGCTGAAGGAGTGTAGAGTTGGTATTGGTTGGGCCTGGGAGCTTTCCAGAGGCACTGTGCTCTGCTGTGCCCTTCTTCACATCCCAGTCTCTACCATGTTGACTGTGTTCGTGGATATCACATCGCTGTTGAGATCCCAGAAAGAATATGCATGAACCACCGTGACAAATGTCATTCATAATCCTTTCAGCGAAGAATAACCTACAAAAATGTCTTCTGTGTACCTTGCCCTGGAATAGTTTGTGATTCTGATGCAATTGGAGACAAAACATCTCTTATCCATGGCCTCTGTTGAATCAGTTTTGTCTCCAATCTGCCTTTCACGGGCACTCTAACAAGAAGGCAAACAAGGAAAGTTCAGCTGGTCTAGCAGTTCTGAGACAGCAAATTATCTCACTGTTGATGTGGACAAAGAGGCTTTTGCAGAAAGACTATACTTAACTTTGAGAATCTGGGTCCCAGCTTTTTGTTTACCCAGAGAGGTATAAATCTGAAAGAATCTGGGTTCCAGCCGAGCTGAGAGAGGTGTAAAATCACAGAGGTATGCCTCCACTCAGAACACACCATTATCGTGCTTTTATATGGAAGGCACAGCCATTCACTCATTGTCTGATAGACGTTTCCATTGAATGTTGGATCTCTTCAAACCAAGTGTCTGTAAACCAAGGGTTCTGCACTGACACTGAGGATGAATCCAACAGGAAAGATAAAGAGAAACATCACAGCACACCCCAGAGACATAGGCAATTATTGTTTATTGATTAAAAATATAATGAAAATTAGGAGGCCGAGGTGGACAGATCATGAGGTCAGGAGTTCGAGACCAGCCTGGCCAATGTGGTGAAACCCCATGTCTACTAAAAATACAAAAATTAGCCAGGCGTGGTGGCACACACCTGTAGTCCCAGCTACTCAGGAGGCTGAGGCAGGAGAATCGCTTGAACCCGGGAGATGGAGGTTGCAGTGAGCCGAGATGACACCGTGGCATTCCAGCCTGGGCGACAGAGCAAGACTCTGTCTCAATAATAATATTAATAATAATGAAAAATAAAAGAAGAATAAGGGAAACCAAAAATAAGCATCTAGAAGAGCAGTTTAACATGCAATTTCATTTTCATTATTTCTGCTTTAAGTTTGATATTTATATCGTGTCTCAAACGAACAAGGCTGGCCACTCGTTCCCTCTTCTGTTACCCTGTCGTTGGAGGTTTTGTTCTTTGCCTTGGTATGTTGAGAGACCCCAGAGGTCTGTGAGTAAAATTCAAGGGCTCTGTCAACTCAGATGGGACAAAGTCTACTTCTCTGGATTTACTCACTTGTAACTGAAATTCTGCATCGCCTGTGGACCTAGGCAACACCCCACAATAATATTAGTCTCGCCTGTAGATTTCTTACCAACCATTATCACAGATGCTTTCCTATCACTGTACAGGAGTTGCAGATGAAATATCTTTCATGCTCATGACCACTTCAGCATTACTGTGCTCCTTGGATGCCTCGAAATATTTTAATCTTACGAATATCTAATGCATTACTGTGTTTCCATTACACGAAATAAAACAATGACTTAGCAGTTGCCCAGGTGAAGGGAACCACTTCCAACAGGTGGAATTAATTGTTCAGGGTTTTAAAAAGTTCTCTGTGTAGTTGGATTTTAAGCTCCAGGGTTAATCTGATAGAACTTGCTCATCTGGTTGTAAGAAGTGTGGTTAATGGGGATCTCTTGACTGTAGAATTAGTTTTAAAACACCACATTTACTTCTGACAGTAGGTAAATTTTACCTTGGGGAGAATTGTATGGCCTTGGTGGTAGTTAGTATAAATTAGTATGAATTAACTTGGGCATATGTGAAAATTAGTATAGCATAAGTGAATGAAGGCATATGTGAAAATTTGCAATTATTTTCTATATTCATCTAAAATGGAATTGCACTGGAAATATAGCATGCTTGTTTTGTGATTTCTACATATCTCTGTTTTATTCTCATGTCAAATTCTACTTTACCCCTCAATGACAGTCATTTGACACTCCTCTCTGTGTCAGTGTCTGAGGCACCCTGGGACCATCCTGACTGGAAAGCACAGTGACATTGCTGGCCTGAGCTGAAGTGCTGATTAAAATAAATTGAAAGCTGAATGACCTTATGAAGAGCTGCTTTACCCAGGAACAAATATGGAGAGGAACTCCTTGCAACTGTGTTCTCAAGTAGACCACTTTTGAGAAATTATACATTTATCATAACACCTCAAGTCCTGCTCTGCATAGAATGACCATTATTATCAAGAAAAGTTCTCCATTCCCTGTGATTCATAAGGAAGTGCAGGCCTAACCAGAAAACAGGAGCTGCGACAACCTTGGGTCAGACACATTCAATCTCTCTATTCACAGTTGCATTTTCTCTCTCTCTCTCTCTCTCTTTCTTTTTTTTTTTTTAACAAAGCCAATTACCAATAACTGGGAAAAACAAAAACAAAAACAAAAAAAATGAACATATGGTTGAGCTGACTTCTGAGAAAGCTTCTGCATTGTGAATGTGAGGATTCCACATTTCTGAAGCACCTTTGCTCCTCCAGAAAGCGCCTCTCTAGTTTCGTGGTGATACGGAGGGAAACGACAATTGTCTGGATTATCAGGATGGCCCATTGTTCTCTGTGGTTCTCAATCCATGTGGACATCCACCATGACCAAGCTCTTTCTTTCTTTTCTCTCTTTCTTTCTCCTCTCTCCTTCCTTCCTTCCCCCTTCCCCTTCCCCTCCCCTCTTTCCCTTTCCTTTACCTTGTTTCTTGCTTGTTTCTTTCTCTCTTCCCTTCCCTCCTCTCCCCTCCTCCCTTTCTTCCCTCCCCTCCGTTTCTCTCCTCCCCTCCCCTCCTCCCTTTCTTCCCTCCCCTCCCTTTCTCCCCTCCCCTTCTCCCTTTCTTCCCTCCCCTCCCTTTGTCCCCTCCCCCCACCTCCCCCTTCCCCTCCCCTTCCTTCTCCCCTTCCTTTTCCCCTCTACTTCCCCCTCCACTCCCTTCCGCTCCCCTCCCCCTTCCCTTCTCTTTTCTTTTCCTTTCTTTTCTTTTTTTGAGACAGGATATCACTCTGTTGCCCAGACTGGAGTACAGTGAAGTGATCGTGGCTCACTGTAGCCTCGACCTCCTGGGCTCAAGCCATGCTCTTTCCTCAGCCTCCTGAGTAGCTGGGACTACACACACACACAACCATGCCTGCCTACTTTTTTAAATTTTTATATTTTTTTGAGACAGGGTTTCATGCAGGTTTTCATGCCCAGGCTAGAGTGCAGTGGTACAATCTTTTGGCTCACTGCAACCTCTGCCTCCTGGGCTAAAGCGATATTCCTACCTTGGCCTCCCAAGTAGCTGCGACCACAGGCACTAGCCACCACATTCGGCTATTTGTTTATTTTTTTTTAAAGACACAAGGTTTTACCATGTTGTCCAGGCTGGTCTCAAACTCCTGAGCTCAAGCGATACACGCGCGTCAGCCTCCCAAAGTGCTGGGATCACAGGCATGAACCACCGTGCCCAGCCTGGTTAATGTTTAAATGTTTCCTGGAGATGGGGCTTCACTGTAGTGCAGGCTGGTCTTGAACTCCTGGGTTCAAGTGATCCTCCCACACTCAGAGATACTATTTTCTTTTCTTGCTTTTTTTTTTTTTGAGAGGGGTCTTGCTCTTGTCCCCCAGGCTTGAGAGCAGTGGCTCGATCTCAGCTCACTGCAACCTCCACCACCCAGGATCAAACGACTCCCCTGCCTCTGCCTCCCAAGCAGCTCAACTTCAGCACCTCATTCTTTGTCTAAGCCAAGTTTAGCCGAAGAAAACACCTGCCGAGAAGGTAAAAACAAAAACATCTGCCAAAGGCAAGAACCCGGTGGGAAGCCCCCTGAGCCCAGGGGCCTGCAGAGTCTGTTCTGGTGACAAAGCAGGCAGTTGGAAGAGAGCAGGGCTGCGAGACAGCGTGGGTGGGTTTTATCTGCTGCTTTTGGAAATTCATTGCATGATGCGTTTGTTTTTCAGAGGTCCCAAAGCAAAGAAACAAAAGCCCCGCAGAGTTCACCCAGAAGGAAAGCCTTCATTGGATCAGGCTATAAGAGGACTCTCCCCTGAGAAAGATACTTATTTTGGCGCTGTGTTTAGAGAAAAGGGAAGAACGATGGCTTTCCCGTAGAAACATTTACTTATTTCATGATTTGAAAATGGACTTTTATGTTTTAGGAATTATGTGGATGGGATGTTTTCTTGGGTGATAGGATTTGAAATTGCAGAGGGGAGCAGGTGCCATGTGCCAGCAATGGCCGGCCAGTCTGCCTGCCTTCCTGCCTGCCTCCCTCCCTCCCTCCCTCCCTCCATTTCTCCTTCCCCCCACCCCGTTTCTTCCTTCTTTCTCTCTGTGTTTCTTCTTTCTTTTCTTTTCTTCTTCCTCCCTCCCTCCCTCCCTCCCTTCCTTCCTCCCTCTCTCTCTCTCTCTTTCACTTTGTTTGTTTTAATGAGAGTAGAGAGGAGGAAAAACACTTTTTTTTTTTTGAGACGGAGTCTCGCTCTGTCCCCCTGGCTGGAGTGCAATGGCGCGATCTCGGCTCACTGCAAGCTCCGCCTCCCGGGATCATGCCATTCTCCTGCCTCAGTCTCCTGAGTAGCTGGGACTACAGGCGCCCGCCACCACGCCCAGCTAATTTTTTTGTATTTTTAGTAGAGACGGGGTTTCACCGTGTTAGCCAGGATGGTCTCGATCTCCTGACCTTGTGATCCGCCCACCTCGGCCTCCCAAAGTGCTGGGATTACAGGCGTGAGCCACCACGCCCAGCTGGAAAAACACTTTTTATTTTTTGTCTACCTTTATTGTAAGGAGAGAGTGAGAATACCATGCCACACATGCAGGGTTCTGAGCAGAGGGCTACACCGTGCTTAGTTCTAAAGGCACCTACACTTTTATCATGAAAGCCATGGAGAGGCCCACATTTTGAAACACTCAGTCTCTCAGAAGAGGATAGAATGGGCTGCCAGTGTGATAGGGAGAGAAATTGAACATAGCTGACTCCATCTTGCTTCTGACTCCTCAAGCTAACTGCTCTTAGGCACTTCTGCACATGGGCCAAGTTAATCATGGAAAGAACTTAGATTACAGTTTAACTGGAAAGCAAGGATGATAAGAATTCCTTTCCAAAACTAACCTCTGAGGAGATAAGAAGGGCATGCATACAAGTAGCAATGTTGTCTTGAAGATTTGTAGGAGCACTGTGACCTGAGCAAGGACAAGGAAGTTTTGCAATCTCCTTGGGCCCCTGCTGATGCCCAAGTGTCTGTGGTCACCAGCCAACCCCCTCACCTCAGCCTCCTCCTTGTTCCCCCTTCTCAATGTACAAAGAAGTTTGAGATTCATGCCTTTAAAAATGGTTCCTTAGGACATGGGTCCAGTATCTTCCTGACTGGCTGGCTCTCCAAATAAAGATGCTTTTCTTTTTCTAACTTCTTGTCTCTCGAATGATTGGCTGTTATGCAGCGAACCTCAGGAACTTTGGACTCCACAGCACTAGGACCACTCTCAGGACTTCCAGTCTGTACTGGGTGCAGGAATCACTGGGGAGTCGGACTGAAATGCAGGAATCACTGGGGAGTCGGACTGAAATGCGGGAATCACTGGGGAGTCGGACTGAAATGCGGGAATCACTGGGGAGTCGGACTGAAATGCGGGAATCACTGGGGAGTCGGACTGAAATGCGGGAATCACTGGGGAGTCGGACTGAAATGCGGGAATCACTGGGGAGTCGGACTGAAATGCGGGAATCACTGGGGAGTCGGACTGAAATGCGGGAATCACTGGGGAGTCGGACTGAAATGCGGGAATCACTGGGGAGTCGGACTGAAATGCGGAAATCACTGGGGAGTCGGACTGAAATGCGGGAATCACTGGGGAGTCGGACTGAAATGCGGGAATCACTGGGGAGTCGGACTGAAATGCAGACTCTGATTAAGGAGGCCTGGGACACGAGGCCTGAGATTCTGCATCTCCAGTAAGCACCCAGGGGATGTTGCTGCTGCTGATCCAGGGACCACACCTTGGAGAGCAACGCTGAGAAGCTGGCGGAAGAGCCCCGGCTGATGAGGATCTGAACATTGTCCGTAGCAGGGAGGCTGGGAAAATGAGATAAAAATGTTAAAAATGGCAGAGTCACCTTCCTGGAGAAGAAATGGCTTTTCCATTCCTTATTACGCTCATGTCTTTGCAACTAGCCCCCAGTGGTCTCCTTCCTGCTATATACCTGCAGTTACCGTGTTCTTGTTAAGGAAGAATTGCAAATGAAAAAAAAAAAAAAGACGCGGTGGCTCAAGCCTGTAATCCCAGCACTTTGGGAGGCCGAGACGGGCGGATCACGAGGTCAGGAGATCGAGACCATCCTGGCTAACACGGTGAAACCCCGTCTCTACTAAAAAATACAAAAAACTAGCCGGGCGAGGTGGCGGGCGCCTGTAGTCCCAGCCACTCGGGAGGCTGAGGCAGGAGAATGGTCTAAACCCGGGAGGCGGAGCTTGCAGTGAGCTGAGATCCGGCCACTGCACCCCAGCCTGGGCGACAGAGCAAGACTCTGTCTCAAAAAAAAAAAAAGAAAAAAAAAAGAAAAAAAAAAAAAGGAAGTTGATCATGTTTGGTTGCTTTTGGTCATGTTTGGTCATCACAATAAGCAAATAAAATCTGAAATTTCCCCCTGACTTTGCAAATGTTTTCTTCCAAGGAGATCAACCTTATTGGATTTCTTTGGTTCCCGAACAGCCTGCCATGAGGTATGAAGGACACACGATCTTTTATGTAATTGGTGAGACCCAATGCCTTCTAGATGTTGGGTGTCTCATCCCAGTGTGAGGATTTTTACTCAGTGTGGAGTCTTACTCTGTAACCCCAACTGGAGTGCAATGGTGCAATTTCAGCTCACTGCAACCTCCGCCTCTCAGGTTCAAGCGATTTTCCTGTCTCAGCCTCCCGAGTAGCTGGGATTACAGGTGCATGCCACCACACCCAGCTAATTTTTTGTATTTTATTAGAGACAGGGTTTCACCGTGTTGCCCAGGCTGGTCTTGAACTCCTGAGGTCAGGCAATCCATGTGCCTTGGCCTCCCAAAGTGCTGGGATTACAGGCGTGAGCCACTGTGTCCGGCCAAGGATATCTTTTGAAAACTTAATTTCCCTTTAGAAAAGAGAACTTAATCTACATGTTGGTTCTTTTTGTTGTTGTTGTTGTTTGTTTTTTTGAGACAGTCTCATTCTGTCTGGTGCAATCTCGGCTCACTGCAAACTCTGCCTCCCAAGTAGCTGGGACTACAGGCGCCCGCCACCACGGCCGGCTAATTTTTTTGTATTTTTTTAGTAGAGATGGGGTTTCACTGTGTTACCCAGGGTGGGCTCGATCTCCTGATCTTGTGATCTGCCTGCCTCGGCCTGCCAAAGTGCTGGGATTACAGGTGTGAGCCACCGCGCCTGGCCTAGATGTTGGTTCTTTTAATTTATCTTGAGTAAAAGTTGTTTTTGCTAATATGAATTTTTAAAGTCATCATTTGGTTCAAACAGTTTTGTGTAATTCACCTCTAAATGTTTTCAGCAGAGGGAGTAACAAAAAAGAAAAGGTTTTTTTTTTTTTTTTTGACATGGAGTCTCACTCTGTCGCCCAGGCTGGAGTGCAATGGTGCAACCTCGTCTCACTACAACCTCTGCCTCCCAGGTTCAGGCGATTCTCCTGCCTCAGCCTCTCAAGTAGCTGGGACTATAGGCACCCGCCACCACACCTGGCTAATTTTTGTATTTTTAGTAGAGATGGGGTTTCACCATGTTAGCCAGGCTGGTTTCCATCTCCTCACCTCATGATCTGCCCGCCTTGACCTCCCAAAATGCTGGGATTACAGGTGTGAGCCACCTCTCCCGGCCAAAAAAAGGTAATTTTAAGGGCAAAGAAGTGAGATGACTTGAGTAACGGTATTCCCCATGCATGGCTATTAACAAATGTTTCCTGACTGCCCACCTGGCAAAAACATCGAACAGGTAGAATGTGTGGTCCTAGGAGGTGACAAACTTCTATTTTAAATGAAATATTAGAAAACAGATTAGACATCCAAGTCAAAGGGGTGACAAATAAGGAATTTCATGGGAGTTCAGTGATTTTTTTTTTAAATGATGATTGTAAGTCTATTAGAAAGTAGCATATAAAATTTGCTATGGTCTGAATGTTGCTATCTCCCTAAAATTTCTATTTTGATCTCCTCACTTCCAAGGTGATAGTGTTCAGACATGGGGCCTTTGGGAGGTGATGAGGTCGTGAAGGTGGGGCCTCATGGATGGGATGAGTGCCCTTGTAAAAGGGGCCCCAGAGAGCTCCCTCATCCCTTCCACCATGTGAGGACACAGCCGGAAGGCTCCATCTAGGAACCAGGAAGTGGGTCCCCACCAGACGCTGAATCTGCCACGTCTTTGCCCTGGACCTCCAGCCTCCAGGACTGTGAGCAATCAATTCTCCAGTGTTGTTAGAGGGCTTGCTCCTCGGTCACCACAATAAACTGAACGCTCGTTTTTCCCCAAAATTTCTGTGCCGCAAAGTGGTGGCGCTAGGAGGTGGAGTCTTTAAAAGGTGGTGTGGTCATGAGGGTGGAGCCTCACGAAGGGATCAGTGCTCTTATAAAAGAGACCCCAGGGGCCGGGCGCAGCGGCTCACACCTGGAACCCCAGCACTTCGGGAGGCCCGGGCGGGTGGATCACCTGAGGTCAGCAGTTGGAGACCAGCCTGGCCAACATGGCGAAACCCCTTCTCTTCTGAAAGTACAAAAATTAGCCAGGCGTGGTGGCACATGCTTGAAGTCCCAGCTACTTGGGAGGCTGAAGCAGGAGAATCGCTTGAACCTGAGAGATGGAGGTTGCTGTGAGCTGAGATCGTGCCATTGCACTCCAGCCTGGGCGACAAGAGCAAGACTGCGTTTCAAAAAAAAAAAAGCACATCGGCTCAGACTTACTTTGCTGGAAAGCATATTAGAATGTGTCTCATCCCCCTTGTATGCCGTTTCCAAGAGCTGCTGTAGCAAGCTGTCACACACCAGGTGGCTTACAACTGGGATTCATTCTGTCACAGTTTTGGAAGCAGAAGTCTGAAATCAAGGTGTGGGCAGGGTGAGTTCCTTCTGGAGGCTCTCGTGGTGGATCCGTTCCTTACCACAGCCCCGAGCCTATTCCCATGGCCTCAGGGCTTCCCATACAGTGCACAGGACAGCCTCACCTCAGAGAGTGATCCAGACTCCAATGTCCACAGTGCTGAGGCTGAGAAACCCTGTATTAGCTTCAAATGCACACACACTCTCTCTCTCTTTCACTCTCTGTCTCTCTCTTGCTCTCTTTCTGTCTCATGTATTGATCTAGCTGTCTGTTTCTCCGTAGTTGTCTACCTATATCCATCTGTCTGTCATCTACTTTTTCTTTTTCTTAGAGACAAGGTCTTGCCCTTTTGCCCCGGCCAGAGTGCCGTGGTGTGATCATAGCTCACTGCAGCATCAAATTCTTGGGCTCAAGCAGTCCTTCTACCTCAGCCTCCCAAGTAGTTGTGACTATAGGTATGTACCACCATTTCCTGCTAGTTTTTAAATTTTTTGTAGAGATGGGCTCTTGCTATGTTGCCCAGGCTAGTTTCAAATTCCTGGGCTCAAGCAATTCATTTGCCTTGGGCTCCCAATATGCTGGGATTACAGGTGTGAGCCATAGCACTTGGCCTCTTATTTTATTTATTTATTTATTTATTTCTCTCTCTCTCTCTCTCTCTCTGTATCCATTCATCCACGTATCCATATCTGTCTATATATCTATTCATATCTATCTATATATCTATCTGCCTATGCATTTATCTATATCATCTATATATCCATTCATCCATCTATATTATCCATATCTATCATCTATATATCTATAGCTATATATCTAACTACCTATTCTATATATCTATCCATTTTATCCATATCTATCATCTATATATCCATATCTATGTATCTACCTATCCATTCATCTCTATCTATCTATATCTATCTATCTATCTGTCTGTCTACTATCTGTCTGCCTACCTATCTGTCTGCCTATTCATCCGTGTATCTACTTCTATCCATCATTTATCCATGAATCTACTTTCTATCAATATATCCATACATATATCTATATCTATTTAGCAATCATCTATCCATGTATCTATTTGGATCCACATATTGATATTTACCTATATATGCATTCATGTATCTATATCTGTCCATTTATTCATTTATCTCTGTGTGTCTCTACATTTAATATACATTTGCACTTATATATGCTATGTCTCAAACATGTGCACACTCACATATGCATGTGTGTCTGGATACACACACACACACATTTTAGTGAAGAGGCACCCTGACTTGATTTGTACATATCTCAGTGGTGAGAGTCATCAGCAAGAAGCGGCCCCAGGCCCCAGGCTGATTGTCCCCTTCTCAGGCCCCAGCCTGAGTCCCAAGCATCGCTGCAGAGGCTCACCGAAGAGTCCACCCAGCCAAGGCCACCCCTGGGACCTCCCCTCCCTGGAGAAGCCTCATGCCTTTGGCTTCCATTTCTCTTCAAATGGCATAATAAACACCCACGCTCCGGACATGGCCTCGGGATAGAAAATTAGAGCCAGATTAACCATGCTTGCTGGCCCTGTGGTGACCACTAAAAATGAGGTGGTTTCCTCTTCCCGTCATTTCCATGCAGTGGTATTTGAAAAGGAAATGGTTTCCATTGCAAAACATTTTCTGTGACTTTTGGCTGCAATATTTTGCTTCTTATGCTCTTTTTTCTCATCCTTTTCCTCCCCTGCCTACATTTTCTTTAATTTTTTTCTGTACATTAAAAATATTCTTTATATGTTAAGTATAAAGAATATTTCAAACACTCTTCTGTAAATTAAACAAAGAAGCTGAATTTTCCAACAGTGACAGCATCACCACAGACAGACGAGAAAAAAAGTGATTTCTCCCAACAGAAAATGCTTACAGTAAGAAATTAAGCCCCATGTTTTTATGTGAAAACTCCCAGTTCAAAACTGTACAAACATTGAAACCTCACGTGAAGAAAATTGTCCGCCAAATTCATCTCTATATTTTATTTGCTCTTCTTGAGGATAATTTGGAATACAATCAGTCCTCTGCCAGAGTAATGTTTTATTTATTTCTGTATTTATCTATTCTTACTCCCTTCCTTCCAAAAATCATGTGAGAAGGCTTTCAGACAAAATGGCTTTAGTTTGACTTTTAGAACGGCAACATTCTAG